GCAACCTGAGGCTGCATCACACCTCAAAGACCCTTGGAAAGTCAGTGAAAGCCTTGGCCAAACCACAACAGCACCCTCAGCTCCAATTCCTGCTGAGCTATACACCACAGCCCCTTATGATTCAGATGGCTGAGCTCTGGGTGAAGGCCAAGGGAACAGGTCCCTCTGGCAAAGCCTGTTCCTTCCATCAGCTTCCACAAACCGCAGCAGAAGAGAAAGTGCCACAAACAGCAGCAACTGAGTGTTGATTCAGTATCAGCACTAAGCCATACATGAAACAGAATGTGCTGAACTCGTATGTAAAGACACAGATCTCAAAGCTAAGAGCCTAGGACCAGGCTGACAAGCCCATTACCTCGTTTGTGCCAAATCCCTGCTTCTCACATCTTCTTGTGACATACCTGTGGCTGCACCCCATTTCCCTTCCCTGCCCATCTCCAGGAGCTGCTCTGCAAACAGCACAGGGCTGGGCACTGCCAAAGCACCAGCAGGATGAGGGGGAACACATCAAAAGCAGAGAGATCATGGGAGGGCAGGAGGCAGGTCCGAGCACACCCCCATCCCACCCTTCCTGCTTCCTGCCTTAGTTCAATGCTCTGCAGTCCTAAATACATCCATCTCCCCCGAAGCAGAGAACTACACATTTAGCTGGTGCTCTCCATCAGCATTTCTGTGTGCTGCTTATCTCCACAACAGCATCCTGTGGATTTTTCCAGCTGTCAAATCCACTGAGAGATCCACAGGGCAGTGCCACAAGGCCAGGTACTCCCCATTGTGGAGCGGGTAACAAAGGCCGTGAAGGTTAAGGTGCTGCTCCCCCCTTTTCCTTGTGCTCAACCTCTTCAAGCTCTCAGGATGCCGGTGGTAGAAACTGAAGGTGGGAAAGCTGCACCCAGAGGTGCTACTGAGGCGAGACACCAACCTCACAGGCTCTGCATCCACACAAACAAGGAGCACTGGCTTTTCCTCCTCTTGCCACTCCTCCAAGAAAGGAACTCGGCAATGAATCCTGCGCTTCATGACTTGTGTGCAAACTACAAGACAGGAGGCAGAAAAACCTGTTCCCTCTCCAGTTGTGGCTCCCCCCAGCTGCATTTGCTCCCCATCATCTGAGATCTCAGGTGTTCAAAGCACTCACCCACCAGTCTTTCTTCTGGAGTGATAAACGAGTTTGCATTCTACTGTGGCAGAAAGGGATAGAACAAGGGTGACAAAGACAACCCCAGAAAGGTTAAACCACATGTTTGCAAGGCCCCCCTCCCAGCCACAGCTAAGGAATGCCTGAAGGCCAGCGATGCTGTCAGGAAGGAAAGAGGAAAGAGTGGGGCAATCCAATCTGGTTTCAGTTTATTTCCAGAATTTTACTGTACAAAATATGCAAAGTGTAAAACATTTTTCTTTTTTTTTTTTTATGTTTCAGTTAAAAAAACAAAACAAAACAAAAAAAAAAAACCAACACAACCCCCATCCAGCTATAACTTAAGAGAACCCAGCTTGGAACAGAACAACTCACTAAGCTAAGACCCACAGTGCATTAATGTCACAGACACCAGGAATTTGCTTACTTAAGTTCACAATTAGAAAAAAGAACATAAAAGACCATGTACCATTGCAGTTAAAGTCACATGTGCAAAGAGGAAAAAAAAGAAAGAAAGAAATGCTGGTTAGTGTCTATTGATTAGAAAACCTTGTCAAACCCCATCTTACTATACAGTGTGTGTAGAAAAGAGTATTACACAGTGATCAAAAAGAGGGCAAGGGAAGGACCGCCTTCCCCAAGACACAGTAATGCTGAATCCAAGAAACAGGCACAGAAGAGTGTTAAGATTCCTTCACAGTTACTGTCTGTGCAGGCAGACACAGCACCCCCCAGTGCAGGAGATACCCCAAGCATCACCAGTGCTGGTGAGAGGTGCAGCCAGAGGGAAGGATGCTCTCTCTGGGCAGGAAGAGCACACACAGGGCAGGGCTGGCTGCCCACAGGGCTTCAGTACATTATGGGGATTAGAAACACAGTCTCTTGGAGGGATGCAGAGGGAGGGTAACACCAGTTGTACCACTGGTGTAATGGGGGGACCTGGCTCAGGAGTATTCCAAAGCGATCATAGAGCAGCGGTTGGGAACGGCAACTTTTGGTCATCATCTATTGGAGGCAGCAGCCTGAAAGCAGGAGGATGTGTATTCCCATGGGAGACTTCGTGGCCCAAAGCCATGTCTTACAGAAGACAGAAATTAGGGGGTTTTGGGTGGGTTTACTTCTGCTTTTAACAAAACCCAAACAGTTCAATCCCAAGAGCTTCCTTCTTCACACAGTTTGAACACTGAACCACCGAGCCTGGCTTGAGGCTTTAGACATGTATAATGCACACACCTATGAGGGAAAAGCACAGACACACACCAGCTGAATGAGGAAACAGACATCTGCACACTTCTCATCAACAGCTCTCATAGGGGAGGGCAGAACTAAGCACAAGAAGAGCAGAGCCTGGGACCAGATTACAGTGTTTTGTCCAAGACTTGTGTTTTCCCTTTGGAAAAGGGTAGATTTACAAGTTTTGGTAAGAAAGATGATGGAATTGGCTTGAACAGGATTCCACGTTCAGCACAGAATGGATCTTTCCAGTTCTCCAGCAGCAAGCATTGGAAACCAGCACATCTCAAACACGACTTCAAAAGCTACTTATGCAGGGCAGGGCCAGCTTCAGAATCAGCTCTCTCACAGCTTCTGGCATACTTGGCAACAGCAGACTCCTGAGGCTTTGTATGGAGATCCCCATCCCAAAGGAAAAAGTTAAGAGGCTCCACAAGGGGTGGGATTTGTTCAGACCTCCTCCAACCTTGTGCCTTATTGTGAGCTGCTCCCAAACTGCAGCCCCAGTGCCTCCCATCCCCGTGGATACTTGTCCTGCCTCGCTAGGGAATGTCAAAGAGAAAATCCCACACAGAAGAGAGGATGGGAGCTGGAACCACTGAAGTTGCTGGCAGGAACAGTTTTAGAGGCAGAAGTTGGAGGAATAGCTGGCAGAGGCTAAAATCAGTTCTGCCCTCCTCTCCTATAGCCCCCCTGCAAGCATAATATCCACAGCTCCTAGAAGCTGGGAGAAATCTTGTCTCTTTCCCTCTTTAGTCATGAAACAGAAAGCCAGGCTTCATGGAAACCCACCGCCATCTCCATCTGTTCCAGAACAGTTCAAATAGCTGCAGCTGGGTTTGGAAGATCTCAGCATGGCTTTGGATTTAGAGTGTTACAAATCTGAGACCAAAAAAACCCCAAAGCCTTTCAAGTATCCAAGGAGCGTACTTGATAGTCACAAGGAAAACACCAACATGGAACAGAGGAGTGGGGCAACACTATCACATGGTGCAGTCTTTAGTGAGGGATGTCCAGTGCAAGGATCTCCTGAGGGGACATTGTTCAATTCAAAACAGGGTTGTCTCATAAACCATTTGAACTCCAAAGAAACACAATTCCCAGCCAGGTACAAGAATCCAGACTGGGAGAGAGGAGGGAGAATATGTGCATGAAGACAGTGCTGGATAGGAAAGGCATTTGGAGGAAAACAGCCTGCTCTTGGCTGGCAAAACCCTTCAAGCCTTATTTTTATGCTGAGCTCTTGGCAAGCTCTACAGAAGGAAGGAGTGCAGGATTTGGACGGGAGCCGTGTTCCTTGTGATTTGATTCTTACTCATTAGCTGGCTATAAACAGAGTTAAACAAACCAGGCTGCTCTTGCCGCTCAGGGTTCCTATGAGGAGTCTGAATTCCTATAGATGCCACAGATCCATCTGTGGACCTCAAAGCACATGACGAGTTTAGCCTCACGACACCCAAGTGAAGTAGGTATGAAATGGTCCTCTGATTCTGTAGGGAGGGGAAACGAGAGACCCTGAGAACAGGATGTCTTTAAAAACAAGAACAGGGAATACTCATGAGCCCCGATTCCTCTTTGAGTCTGTCCTCAACCCTAAGCAGGTTGTATTCTAAAGAGACCATTTGAGAGTCCAAGTCCTCTCCTTCAGATTTAATCAAGCAATGCATTCATGCTGCTGACACAGGGCAGAGTGTTCAATTTAGGAGCTGGCCCCCACTGACAGCGTCCTTTCCATGGGTGGGCAGAAAAGGCAGCACTGATGAGGAAGTAGACCCAGAGCGAGTAAGCACCGCTTCCGTCTGCTTCTCCATGTGTTTAAGGAGTTAATGGGATTAAGACACGAGTTTCCTGAGCAGATCCTGTCAGACAGCCCCCCTGGTGGGGCAGGGAAAGGAAAGGGGAAGGAAAACCTGGCGAAGAGAAAAACCCCAGCAGAGGTGCCTGTGAGAAGGTGCTCTCATACACACAGCACACCCAAGCCCCCAGGAAGAGGGGGCAGCCTCCACACAGGCAGAAGTGCTCACCAGTCTCCCAGACTCTCCCACATTGCTAGTGATGCACATCATGAAAGACACATACATGCATCTCCAGGAGAGCAAAATGTGAGGACATGCCACATAGTTCCCCCCACCCTTTTTGTTTAAAGGAATAAACCAATGTATATTTTCTAATTAAAACACTGCAAACGCCACAGTGAATAAAGGAGTCCCTATACAGACTACGAGAAAGCCTGACCTAGAAAGAAACCCAAACACTAAGTTTAGAGAAGGAAAAACCCTACCTACTTCCCATCCTTTAAGGGACATGGGCCTGCTCCCATCATGTACCGCACCATCTAGTTCCTTCACAAGCACATCTGGCATATTACATGGAGAAGATAGGATCCAGGTGACTTCCACACACTTGTAAGAAACGTGCAGGCATCACTTGGATGAGGAATCACCACTTTGGACCCTTGTGCTCCCTCGATCCCAAGAGGACTAGCTGCAGCTCCATTGCTGCTGACAGCCTGCCCTGTCCCCCAGCTTGTGGTGGGCACCAGCCAGCCCACACCAGCCATGCCATGGAGGACCAGCAGAGCCCCACTCTTAGCTGGGCCACCTCATGCTGGTGGAAGCATGGAAGCAGCCCAGGGAAGGCCAAAGGGAACAGGAGAGCTGCCACAGCCCATCTCAGAAGATCACTCACCCCGGCAACAAAAGGCACTGGCTTAGGTAGAAGTGGGCCCTCTGTGTTAAGACATCCATATGGAGGGCAGGTCAGATCCTGTCCTGATAACAGACATTTGCACGGCAAAAGACTGGGCAAAATGAATCATTTTTGCATTCACACATAAATGCACCGCCACAGAGCTGGGACCTGACAGAAGGCAGCTCACTGCCAGCCTCAGAGCTGGCTCTGGAGTCACACCGTGCCCTGTGCCAGCAATCAGACACTGCTTTAGGCTGCATCATAAAAAGCAAACCTCCCAAAACCCCACAAAACCCAGGTGACGCCAAAGCCGCTCTGATGGACAAAAGCAAAACACAACTGCACACCTCAGGAGCAGATCCCAGCACTGAGCAGAAGCTCCCCAGTACAGAAAGGCCAAGAAAGGCAGGAGGCAGGTAGGTATTCAACATTCAGACAGTGTTTGGTATTTCTTAGCTAGAGCTGAAGGCGTATGGTGGGGAAGGACATAGAGCAGTTCTCCAAAGCAAGTGCACGTGGCAGAGGTCAGCCCTTTCCCTGGCTCCTCTCCTCCAGACATACTTGAAGCTGGGTAGAGAGGGAGGGGCACATTCCTGCCTGCACCCCCTTCCCATCAAAGAGGCTGTCAGGCACAGGGAGGGTCTGTGATTTATCTGAGGAGGGGCCAGCTATTCACCTCCCCTGTCCCAGTGCAAATAAGCAGCCCTTGCAGGTGCAAAAGGAAGTGGCAGTAAGGCAGTGCCCGAGGGGACTGCGGCTGGAGAAACACACTGGGAAAGCCAGACAGAGAAGACAGAAACAGGGAGCCTTGGGAGTGCCCAACAGAGATGCAGGCAAACAGGAGAGAGGAAGCAGGTGAGAGATAACAGGGAGCTCTGTCAAACAGAACAGTTTCACTAACAAGCACTGGGATAAAATCATAAAGCAAAATCAATCTGAAGAGCTGCAAATGGGCTGTTCCAGTTCAAGACAAGCAACTTCAGAGACACAGAAGGCAAAACCATCCCACTGTGCTCATGTAGGTCCAGCTCTGATAGAAGAGGGTATATGGAGAGAGGGAAAAGAAGTCTTCAGTCTTCAGATGAGGTGGCTCCCAGAAGCAGCCCCCTCACACCCTCCCTTTGATACCTCCTCCTTCCCAAGCGAACAGGGACTGCTACATCCCCGTGCAAGCAGGTTTCTACAGCAGAGGTGAGCAATATACTCTTCAGAAACAGCTACGGGTAGGAAAAGCAGAGAAGCAAAAGCACAGGCGTGTGTATGGCATAAAGGCAGCGCTCCAACAAAAATAACCCATGTTGCAATCGTGAGGAGAAAGAGCGAGCGTGAGACTTACAGTGTGCCTGGAAAGGGGGGGAAAAAGGGGAAAACTCTGTTCTGTCTCCAAGGCTGAGCTAACCGAGCCAAGTCACCCTGTCGCCTCTTAAGATATTTCTTTCTAGATAAGATATTCCAACTCCCCCCCCTCCCTCCCCTTTCCAAATAAAGTGCAGATGGTCAAATATTACTGGTCCATCATCTGCCAGTTTCAGTCAGCATTGGGGAACTTAAACCCAAAAAGCACGATATTGAAAGACAAAAATCCAATCCCCGAGGAACCCCCCCTCAGAATCCCTTAGACTGAAGTCTCAGACTGTAAGCGGAGGACGAATTTATGAGATTTGGGGTCTATGAACTCCTCGGAGAGTTTGATGAAGGGGATTTTTTTCACATTAACAACAAGGCTGAAGTCCAAGCACTTGAGCACAAAGACGCTGCCGTCCTGTAACCCGCTCGTGACCGCTTCCTCGCTGACGAGCGTCCAGTGCTTGGAGAACCAGCGATCCCTGTCGTACTGGAGGGTTGGGCCCGGGCTGAGGTAACGCTCCAGGAATGCCTGCCGGGAGAGGGACACGTGTTAGCACCAGTCCTACCACTTGTTCTGCATCGATGCTCTCTTCCCAGCCCTAAGTTCAGCTCCACGAGCATGGGCTTGCCATGCTGTGACTTTCAGCTTCCACGCTTCAAGAGATATCCTCTCCCCAGTGCCTCCCAGCTTTTCAGACCCCAGAAGCAGGCACAAGCACCAGGAGATTCTCTTTCAGTCCATCCCACCAAAGTTATAGCCCTGACTCCTGCTGTCAGCAGTGCCATCTCGCATCAGTTCAGTACAGCAGAGGTCATTTCTCCCCTCCCAGCTCCATAAGCCATCCCAAAATAGCAGTCCCAGACAGGTAGATGAAATAGCTGGCCCTCCCTTCTTCAGGCCAAGCTAAGGTGGAAGACAGTTTCCACGGCTGCAGCCTGACTGAGGCTGCAAAACTGAAAGCAGAACAGGGAATGCTGTTTGATGTTCGTTGCTTTAATGCCTCCTTTGCAATCTTAACAGCAGCAGAACTCCCCCCTGTATACCTGGGCAAGGTACCAGGTGGATCCTAGTGAGAGGGTGCTAAGGCTCATCTCCTGATAGCATTTCTGCTCTTAGGGTAGTTAAGCTCTGGGTAAATGCTTAAGAGTAAATTCTTGCATTCCTAATCCTTTGCTAGGATTGTGGGATGTTCTTAGAGGGGAAGGTGGAGAGTAGGAGGTGGATAACATGACCCTTTAAGACCTGATGCAACCTATGCACTGATCATATACAGACAGCAACTGTGAAAACCTCCACTGACCTTGTCTGCAATTTCCTGTCCTCTGTGCACACATAAATGTGCTATCCCTTTCTCTCTCCTTCCTGCACTGCTAAAGAAAGCGTTACCTTTGGTGTCATGTTATTGGTGATGCAGAAGGACAAGTGTTGCAAGATGCTCTCCATGCTGTGGTACTGTTGCTGGCGGGTGGTGCGAAGGTACTTCTGCAGAGCTCTTGCCATGGAGGGGAAGATTGCCTGGGCTGCTTCTCGGGGGTCCATCATCTCTCCTGGAGCTTTCTGCTGTTCCTCTGCCTGGAGGCGTTTGATGTGAGTGAAAGCCTCCTCTACTGCAACCACGAGCCTGCAGAAGGAAAATCAGGATAGGAAAATCAGGATAGCAAGAGTCGTAATGAGAGAAGTAGGATGGGGCTGTGGTTAAGCCAGAGCCTGGGAGTCAGGACATGCAAGCTCCTATTCCCATCTTTGCTTCTGAGTCACTGCCTCCCATCTGAGCGGTAGACAGCAGCTTTCTTTCCTTGACCAGCAATTGAGGGCCATAAACCAGGATTAAGGCTTTAAAGCCCGAGTGTTGTACTTGGTTCTGCCAGCACAGCATAAACATCAGTTACATGATTCAAACAAGACACAGCTGCCCTTGCATTTAATGCATGTCTTTGAAAACAACGGTTCCAGCATACAGGACTGCAGGGTGAAGCATAAGGATGGGCAAGCAGTCAGGAAGAGGCTGGCTATAAACCAGCAGGACACAGGACACAGGCTGCTCAGAGAATCCATGCTCCCAAGCTGCAGTGTGCTCTGGCATACACCAGCCAGGTACAGAGACTGTGCTGCTGACTGATGGCTCTGCACCCTCCACTCAACAGTGACAGGGCTTCGCCCTCAACACCTAACATTGCAGCTAGAGGCACCCTCTGCAAACCACTCCTGTGTTGGCACAGGTGAGCAAACACCAGGACCACTGCACAAAAAGGCAAACAGATGCCATATAACGCTTGCAAGTTAGCCCAGAACTGAGGAACAAGTGAGGGGCTACGCTGCAGTTAGTGAGGAAAAAGCAGTGATAGTAGAAGAATCACCCAACTAAACTCTTTTGCCCCTCCTGACAGGACTGGCTTCACACTAGATTTCCATTCAAGTCACCAACTACTCTCCACACTGCCCTTAATACTCAAAGCATCTTAAAGCCAGGGGAAGCTGCCTCACAACCAGTACAGAGTACCACATTCAGAGTGTATTTGAGGAACAGCACAAGAAACTGTGACCCCTTCCCATTTTGTGGGGAAGAAGGGACTGGGAATCAGTTTCTAATCTCTTCCCATATATTTGTTGCAGCTCTGACCTTCACCTTTGAAACATCTGGCCTGATCTTCTAGTGACTGATGGGTTTTGTCGGACTAAGCATGTGTTCTAACCAAACTCAGCAAGCAAGGGAGATGTGGCTCACTTGGGATGTTACACAGCACAGAAAGGAAAGTTTTAGTTCCCCTTGCTCTGAGGCTGCAAGAGAGCCTAAAACATAGTGGCTATAGAGCACAGGTGAGCCCAAAGCAGGCTAGAGGATACACACTATGCCAGCACTTTCCCATTGAAATATAAACTGCCAAAAGAAATCACAAACCAAGCCAGCTCCTTCCAGTTACGGCGCATTCCTTCCAAACACAGCTCAGTTCAGGGGTGCCTGTCCGTAAGCAACTTGCCTCAAACTGTTAGGTATGTTAACTACAAACTGTAATTAGGCTCCAGAGCAAATAGAGGCACTATCTCAGGTCACCTCAACAATGCATCAACTCTGCAGCCTAAGTATGACTGAGAGGAAAAAAAACCTATGGCCCAAAATAACATCTAACTACTTCTGGTCATATCTTTCCTCTGCAACTCACTGAAGGGGGCAAACTGCCCCTTCTAGTAGTGTGCCAACACAAATATTCTCCTCACCTATGAACAGGCAACACTAAGCGCTCTATGGAGCCTGTCCCTGGATTACTAGAGCTGAGACAACAAGCCTGGGCATGGGGGAAAACAATGGGATTTCCTACAGCAAGTAACCACAGATTTCTTTAGCACTGGACTGTTCCCTAATCCATGACACAGCATTAGCTTACCTGCACAATATACATGAGCTCTCAGACAATCCCAGTTACAAGCCGTCACCACCCCTTATGCATCTGGATTTCATACACTTCTTTGCTGTGACAGATTTACAGCCAACCCCCGGCCCCTTAAATCAGAGGCTCCTGTGAGGCTTGGCAATCCCCACATGGCTGAGCCTCACAGGAGGGGATGGCTTTACCTTGCACGGCGCTTTCTCACTCGCCGCTCATGGTCAGCCTCTTCGTAGTAGAGCTCGTTGTGACTGGAGTCCCTGCGACGAGCCGCAGCCGCGATCATGGCACGGGACTGCCCCGATGCATTGTTCCCTGGGCCTTGGAGAGGCAAGGACAGACCAAAAGGTGGTGTTACTGCCACAGGACTGGGGCTGGGACAGACCAGTGCCCCACAGCATCTGTTAAGTGCTCTGTGGCTCCAGCCTTCCCAGCTATAAATCCCTCCCCAGTCCTCAGGAGCTCTGGCAGAAACCCTGCTAGGCAGCATGGGCTTAGAAAGGGAGCTTTGACACGTGGATAAGGGAAGTTAGTTGGGATGACACATACACAAAGGCAGAGGTGAGGTGCACATGCCAAGGATGCAACTTACCACCCATTATATATGTTTTCAGTTTGAAGGCAAGAGCAGCTGGAACATACCACATTTCAGCAACAAGACAGTGCGAGCGCACAAGAATTGAGGAGTTGGAAAGAGGAGAAAGACAAACACAACAGCATCATGAGACGTGGAGATGAATGAACAAAAGCCAAACTCCAGACAGTTGCACGCAGTGAGGAAAACCAGGATGCAGGGTCACCTTTAGATAAAGCATAGGCTTTCCCAGAAGGGCAGATGCTGTCAGAGCAGCAGCATTCCTGCAGTAGGGTAGGCTGGGGTCTATGTGTGTAGCAGCTTCTCATGGCACTCAGAGCACACCTGCCTTACAGCTTCTGTTGCTGTTAACAGATCCTTCACAGGCACAGCAACAGGGAAGCTGCAATTTGCTCTGTAACACCCACTTAAGTGACAGAGCTGTCTACTACATTACCTTAACCAGTGACCTTAAAATACAGTAGTAGGTTCTTCAGCTCCCCCATGAAGCTCACAGCTCTGGCTATTCAGGCAGAGAAGAGAGGCAAAAACATGTTGCCCCATAAGCCTACCAACCCTTCTATCTAGATAAAGATGGCTCTGCCCAGAGGGGGAAATGGACAAGTCTCAGACTGCATTCAAACCACCAAAAGCTGCTTTTCTGACTAAGTGCTCTGAAAGCCCCCACTCTCAACAGGCAGTGGTTAAGACCAATCAATTGCACGGACATGCTTAAAACTGTTGTGCTCATGCAAGGGCAACTCTTTGGTTTCTTTCCTAAAAAGCACAAAGCACATTCCAGGCCAGAAGCCTGAAGTTCACTCAGCAGCGGGAAGGACAAGCATTCACACAGACAGCTTCTGAAGAGGCTAAACACTTCAGACTGACAGCCCTGAAATGGAGGATGTGACTCAAGGGAGAGACTAGCTCCCAAACTGGGATTAGAACTGTAATTTGCTTTGTTGACTATGCCCAGTGATGAAAATCCTGGTTTTGAAGGTGAGCCTCCCCACTCTGTATAAGAGAGATTACAGCAAGATTTTTTCCTTCCTGGCTGCTCCAGTATCAAAGACAAAAGCTGCCAACAAATTAGGCTGCCTTAATAGCATTACTGTCTTTTCACGTGCAGGGTATAAGAGACTGTCAGGATGCCAGAGTAAGCTGCAGCCAGAACTACAGTCTGCTTCATCAAATGGATGGGAATCTTCTTAAAGACATGCCCCTAAGCCTGAGATTTCCACATCCGCAAAGGCAGTGGCATTGCACAAGGAATGCTACTGCTCCACAAGGGAAAGGCACAGGCTTTCAGGTCCTGGCAGGGTCAGGAGCTTGCCACTTGGAAAGGCCTGCCTGCCACTTGTAGAGCTTCCTTCTGGTTCTTTCTCTTCCAACAAAGCCTGTGAGCTATCAGCTCCTAAGCTACTATGCTATCAGAGCGACAGTTTTACTTTCGAGCTTGGGCATCCCAACATCCCAGCAGGTGCTGCAGAACAGAGACCCTGCCACATCCCAAAGAGATGTGCTGCATCAGAGAAGACAAGCCAGCAACCAGCCAGAATGGCACATCCTGCAGCCAGCCTGATGGGCCATTGGGTGTGAAAGGTATGCACCTTTGGGATCCACAAGCCCTCACCTTCCACACAGCAGCCTCACTGAGAGTCAGCTGGAATAAAAGAGTGCAGAGCAAGTCTGCTTGCTTCCCCTCTCCAACCCAACTTGCTCTCTCTCATCTTTGAGCTTCCTCATTCCAGGCAGCAGGGGACACACTATGGGCAAGACTGCCCTCTCCCTCCCCCCTGCTTCACCCTTCCTCTGTCAGGATGGGGACACCTTACTGTACGGATCTAAATAAACCTCCAATTAATTTTCTGGATCAGGAGTGCTGCACCAGGTTTGGGGAAACATTTAGAATAAGGTATTGGGAACTTCTGAAGTCACCAAAATGAAATAAATACATTTGAAACCCAATTTACACACACAAAAAAACAACAACCCACACCCATAAGGCACTGAAACTTAGTTGAAGGCAAAACAATCACATCCCATGTTTGTCCATAGGACATCCTTCATGTTTCAGTCTTCATACCCTGCACGCAGAGCCACCTTTCTAGCTAACCCCCTTGCCAGCTCTAAAAGCCTTTCAATACTAACAAATTAATGGGCAGGATGAACCTTACCACATTTTGCCCCAAGACTTCACTCACCCTTCACCATAAAAGCTTCTCTCTACAGCTTCAGCTTTTCTATCAAAGGAATATGTACTTTTATAAAGGCTGTGATGGCTGAGCATACCCTGCTTATCAAGCCTAGCTTTCACTGACAGGGTTTTAAGAGTGCCAAATGATTTAAGTCCAGTTTTTACTGCTTTTGAGTGTCCGCAGGGATCCACCCACCCATCCATCCATCCACAGGCCTCTTTAAAGCCCAGAAGCTTGAAACAGGTTTGTTGAATGGCAAAGCTCAAAGCGGATAGTTATCTGTGTCTGAATTTCCATGAACTGCTTAGTGTCAGGATGACTTAGGAGCACAGCCATGCATAAGCCAGGCATAGCTAATGTAGTGCTAAGGCTGCAGGCTGACAAGCATTGCTTTCAGTGGCAACTGCTGCTTACACAGTTGCTTTTCTTCCCGCATTGGTATCAACCTTCTTCGCTTTCCTGAAGGCTGCCTGTGGAAGCACCACAATAAACCACTGGGGAACTCATTTAGGTTAAAAGTTGTGTTTATTGTACTATCACAACCAAGGAGATGACCCAAGAGCGACAAAAAAGCAGAGGCTGCCTAAAACAAGCAGTGGTGCCAAAAAATGCTTGTCAAGCCACATAATTATAAAGCCTGACCCAAAACTTGGCCACTTTGCCCGGCAAAGACAAAAACCTTATTGAGGGCTAAACACATCTGTAAAGTCATGGGGAACTGGCAAACTCGGCACTGTTAGGAAGATTTCCAGCAAGAGACAAGGATTTGGCAAAGCAAAAAGGTGAGAATGTGTGCATAACAAAGCATAAAGCCAACCCAGCCCTTCCCCATCCCACCCAGCCTCAGAGACTGCATTTTACCTCACCTACCATCAACATTGTAGACTTTCAGGCCAGCCATGTGCTTGGCTGCACGGGATTTGGAGGCTGTTAGTAAGGCCGGGTTGTAGACTGTGAAATCTCTGTAGTAGTTTTCCAGGACCACCAGTGCAGCTCGCTGGATGCTAGGAACAGAGAGAACAAACAAAATACAAGACAGAGCCCCCCAAAATACAGTCAGTTCTTTTGTTCTGTTAAAATAAATAAAAAAGATAATAATAAAAAGAAATAGCCACATTATTTGGGTCAGGATTGTCACACCCACAGAACTGTGCAATAAACAGAATATTAGTTACCCCCCGGGACCTGAAATTTAACTTGAAATGCACAATAAATGTGCCCTCAACTCATGAGGAGAATGACAGGAAACCCCTAAGCAAGGGCAGCACAGATAGAAGCACTAGGCTGCCTGCAGTGTGGGAAATACAGAGCAAGAGCTCAGCCTGCCTTGGCTGCGAGGCTGAAGCTCAGAGCACCACCACATAGGTTTTGTTGTAGCTGGCCAGCCTAGATAGAGGGACCAGCTCAGGATGGATGCTTTTCCCTTTGAGTCATTTCCAGCCGCACCTCAGAGCTCCTCCATCAGAGCATTGACGAGAGTCCAAATCTCTTCAGCTTTCACAGCAAGATAAGATCACTGCCTGAGGAGTGCGGCTCCTGGAGAAGGGATTACCTCAGTTTTGCTTGTTAAATCCCAGGAAGGAGAGAATGGGCAGCAGTGACACTCCCTCCCTCCCTTTGAAGGGATGCCTCTACATAACATGACGACACACGGGAGCAAAACAGCACACACGCCAGCAGCAGGAAAGGCTCAACCCAGAGGTATCTTCCTTTGCAATCATTCCAATAACAGAGGTGTCTGTAGGCACTGCTACCAACAAACAGGACAGTATTGCAAAACAAGGCACAGCTATGGTGTTTAGAAATGCCAACACACACAGACGGGATCCAGGACATGGCTCTCTCCATGTTGCTCTGGCTCCGGGCCCCAGTGTGGTCTGGCTGGCAGTAGTGTCCTGAACAAGTCAATAAGATCACCCATTCAGTCAGCTGGAGTTTGCCAAGAACCCACATTTCATTTTGAACCCACAAATATTATAAAGGGAACTGCCAACGTGTTTGTTGCCAGTTAATTGTAAAGTTCACACTTAGCAACAAAGCAACCGAGTATTCTCACACATGTTACAACATAGGAAGAAAACATTACAAGGATGGGAACGTGGGAAAAGAAGACATCAGCAAATTAAGACCTAAATTCAATTCTCAGCACTACGACTGATTCAAGGCACGCTCCCAGAGGAGCGATTTCAATTTTCCTGTGCCTGGTGCTAATATTAAACCTTTGCATCACACCCCAGTGATTTAAACACCACACACACACACATACACCCTCTGCCACTGATCAGTGAATTAAGTGTAGATTCCAGCCCTTTCACCAGATCCTGAGAAAGGAGAACAAACCCAGACTTGTTCAGTTTACCTTCAGCAGCCAGTATTAAGGTACAGCACCATATATTTCATTAGCTCTATAACCTTAAGATGACTAACTTAGCTTTTACAGCAAATTCTTTCTTCAGGACTGTTTGGATGTGGATTTCTTCTGTATCCAGCTAAAGCATCTTGAAGAAGCTTTACCTTTACCTTCTTATTTCCTCATATCAGGTTCATCAAAAGCAGCTCCATTTAAGCATTCAGCTATTGATATGAAATAAAAAGGCACTATTTAACCAAGGAAATAACTTCCCTTTCATGAAGAAGTACAAACTGATCGACTGCCACACACACGTAGGTGCTAACAGAACAAATGAAAGGCAGTTTATTCCTCCCTTCCAAACTTGTGATTTCTACTGTGAGTTTGCAGCAGCTTAAAAACAAAGTGTCATAAAAGAAGTCATGTGGCAACAGCACATATTCCCCTTTCTGACTGCATTCAAACATGACCAACTTTTTCCATGTCCACTTCCCAGGAAGGCAAAGCTCCGCTGAGTTTCATCCCAAAATGCAATGCTTGAAAAACCAGGACCAACTAAAACCAACAAGATAAAAATGAAATAGTTATACTCTGCTAATACACTGCCCTCATTCCAGACAGCACTGGGACTTCCATCCTAGCAGTGGGAAATGAATGTTCTCCATTGCTCTATCAGGATAAAGCAAAATGCATCACCAGAGAGAATAACTTACTTTAATACACACACTTTTTCCCTGGACACCACAGAGTCTGTTATCATCAGGATGCCAGCTCTCCCCACCTACTATTACCCCTTCCATCTCCTAAATAACCGACTCCACTAATTCATTGTCACATCCACCCAAAATCTAAACACAACAAAGCTTTTACATTGCAATAACTGCCCTGAAAATTGAAAGCCTAGCTATTCATTGACAATGCAAATCCAGTACAGGCTCAGGCCCACATACGAGATACCCCAAATGACAGAGAGGGTCTGCTTTCTAGGGAGAGAATTGTAAGTAGACGTTAGTTTCCTAAACTTGTAGCAGCCTATTTGTGTCTCCCTAAGTATGGAGTCACCCTAAGCGCCGCAGGTTAGGGAGACAGCTATACTGTGACTCTGCAAATTCTCTTTTGAAGAAAAAGGGAAAAAAAAATGAAAAGATGCTGCAGACAAGAAAATTAGAAGGGTCACAATAATTAGCAAGAGAGGAGAAGGCTGAATCAGAGCCTTCTGAGCTGTGTTGCTCAACCTCTTCAGCCACATCAAGGGGAAGCCTCACCCTGCAGAGCTCAGGACAGCCAGCCCTGCCCTGTAAGGAGCTGCAAAGCAACAAGAACTGTCTCCCCCTCAAACCAGGCACAGCCACCCCAAGCACAGCAGAAAAGGACCTAAATTGTGCAATACAGTGTGCAAGGAGGAAGGCAACCACAAGCCAATAGCCATCCAGAGCAGCCCTGCGGAGCAACGGTCTCACGGTTTGTGACCAAAGCAAAATGCTATGGAAGGCTGCTGTCTCCTCACAGAAATTCAGGGGTTTTGGGACTTTTCACTGCAGGGCAGACCCTGGCTTGGCAAGCAAGGTGAAGTGACTGTAGCAGGCCTCCTCTTCACACACACCCCAGCTCCAATGGGAACGGGAACTGGCTGCCTTCCCGGATCCTGTGTTTGGAAGCTCTTCCCTTGCAGCAGTGTCTCAGAAAGAGTTCAGCACCACGTCAGTCACTGCATTCATTCCCCCCACACTTCAGCAAACGGAGGCTTCCCTTACCTTTATGACTTTAAAGAAATGGGGAGGAACAGAAAGAAAGTGAACAGAGAGTGAGGACCTTCCCCATGTCTTAGGAAGAAGATCATATCGAGACAAAAAAAGGCATTTGCATGCAACAGTTCAGACTCAAAACCTTGAACCGGAGGGGAAAAACCCCTCTCATACTGGCCAGTAGCCTATTGGAAACCCAGTTTTCCTTGTAAGTTGTACCAGTCAGGTCCTCCGAGTTGGTTGCTTTGCATTTTTTGCAGTTAGAGGATCAGTTTTGTTTTGTTCTAAATGATCATCACCACTACCCTGGAGAAGGCCGTGTCACAGCATGCTGCCAAGAGGGAAAGCAAACAAGCAGACCCCATGGGGTACCTCAGTGGCATTTGGCAGCAGAGTCCTTTACAAACAGTAATGAATTAACTTGTACAGGGCATCCAAGGAAGTGGAGGAGGGGAATACAGGACACAAAGGCAGCAACTGTTGCCAATTCTTTTCTCTCGGAAGGTAAATCAGGAACAGTTTTGCCTGAATGCTTGCTCCTACATGGGATTTTGATACCTCAGGTCTTGCTGTACTCTCTAGCTCATTCTGGCTCTGTATTTGCCTTTTGTGACATGGCTACACCAATACTTTGGCTTTTTTAGGGGATTTCCAGGAAAACAAGCCAATGCCATACTGAAGGAAAGCACAAAGAAAGAAGCTTGCTTATATAATCAAAAAACACTGGCTTTGGGCCCTGCTGGTTTCTAGGAAAAGGGATTTGAGTCTTTTGAATGATGAGGAAGGGTTAGTGAGAAAGAAAATAATGAGGAAAAAAAAAATAAAAGAAAGAGATTGAAGCCACTTCTCGACACCCAAAATTGCCATTGGACATACTAGAGACCATCATTCACATGGTTTTAGCAGCTTTGTGCCTTCCTGCTAAGCTATAAATGTAGCCTGTCACAGTGTCATACCAACCATGATGTAGACACTGCTGATTGTCCAAGGCTTCATGGTTTTGTAACAGATAAAAGTACACATATAGAAAGAGCTGTTTGCTGCCAAAGCACTTACTTGGCTATAGATGCAAATCCTGCATCAGCATACCTAAAATCCACAGGGATAGTCAGAGAGGCCTGATCAGTGCTGTGTTAACTAAAGGCTGAGGAAGCCTGGGGTTATTTAATCCAGTGATTCCAACACAGATGCCACTCCTCCAACAACACTTCTTATTAATGTTCTTCAAAACAGACATAGCATCCGAACAAGCCAAACTCTCTGGGCACACAAAATACATATCACAGCCAGTCAGGAAGCATTGGCACCTCAAAGAGAAGCTGAGCAAGGACTGCATGCAAGAACCTTCCATGGAGAGTCAGCTCTGCCTTCATGGCTCTCTCCAGCCTACAGCTGTATCATGCTTAATCACTGTAAGAGATGCTAAGGTCTCCCGGAGTGCTGAGCTGCTCACCCACAGCACTCTGTACTCCCCTAGCACTGTTGTCAGCTCACACCTGTGCCTCCCCAGAAGCACCTCCTCCCATGAAAACCCCTTTACTTCACATACTCTTTTGCTAGACACAGAGCTGGGACTCGAGCTCCTGGTCCTTCATCACACTTGACTGCTGTTCCAATGCAAAGTCACCAGGACTGAAACCTCAAAACCAGAACTGGAAATAACTGAAACAAAAATGCTTCCCACACCAACACCCCTGCTGGGAACAGTTGCCAAAGGGATTTCTAACATCCTTCTAACAGCCTTGTTACCTGGTCTGGCTACCATAGTGAGGTATGATGCTCAGATGCTCCCCATGCAGCATGGGCACATCAGGGTCGATCTCCTGTAAGCTGACAGAGCACAAGTGATTTGGTACTCACTGTCCTTTCCAAGCAGCACCTTGGAGAAAAGCTCCCAAGAGAACAGAGG